CCCCTTCTTCCCACCTCCTCCCCCACTCTTTGATTCAGGGTGTCACTGTGTAGTTCAGAATGGCCTTGCACTCCTGATGTAGCCCAGGCTGGCATTGAACTTGCAGCAGTCCTCTTTCCTCAGCCTCCCAAGTGCTGGGATTACAGGTGTGTGCTACCATATGCAGCTTCTAATATTTAAAACAAAATAAGAAAGCACCTTATTATGGGTTGTTTTACTCAATACTGCTGTGGGCTAAACTCATATTTCTTGGAGGTTGTGAAAAGGCCCATTTTCCTTTATTTAAATAGTTTTACTAGTAGGTAGAGAGAAACTTGGTCAAATACCTATACTTTTTATATATACATACATAGATGCACACACACACATATATGTGAGCTAACATTCTTTTGTGTTTCTTGTTTTCAGATGGAAAGAACTCAAATGGATCAAAGCGTTATAATCGCAAGCGTGAACCTTCCTACCCCAAAAATGAAAATTTTACCAACCAGTCCCGTCGCTCCAATTCACAGAAAAGCAAAACTTTTAATAAGATGCCTCCTCAAAGGGGCGGCGGAAGCAGCAAGCTCTTTAGCTCTTCTTTTAATGGTGGAAGACGAGATGAGGTATGGAATTTAAGAATGTCCTTTCTAGAATATAAGCATAAGATCTGATTTTTTTTCCTCTCTAGTTTATTAGCAGCTGAGGGAGAGCAAGTGACAAGTAGAATAGGTTAAGCAGTCTTAAGTAGTAGAGGATTAACTAGGTTTAGCACTTTGCCTCCCTTCTTCCTCTGCTTGGCAGAAGAAGATAGCCTTATTTATTATTGGTTGTGAGAAATTATGGCAAATTTGGATACCTTAATTTGTATAGTACTTTTAGGCACCATTTGGAATATTTAAGTTATAAAATGGTGTTAATTTGTGACATTTTTCTTACAGTAGCTAGCAAAATATAAAATGCTTATATCCTTAGTCCCAGGTATCCTACTTTTAGGAGTTTCTTAGATATGCTTCTGTAAGTACATAAAGTCTTTATATATAAGTGTGTTTATTGCCACATTATTTATAGTTGCAAAATTTAGGAGATACATGCCTACCAACAAGAGACTGTTTAAATTATCCTACTGTTTCAATGGTCCAGGGTTGTATAACCATTATGGAATATGACTTAATAGATGTACTCATATAAAAATTTACCAGGGCCCCATGGCCAAGGATTTAGCTCAGTGGTTCTGCTGCCTGCCTTGCAAGCGCAAGGTCCAGAGTTTATCCCCGGTACCAAAAAAAAAAAGTTTACTCACCAAATCCCATTTAGCAGTTTGGAATGTAGCGTTAAATAGAACATTGTTCTTGTTCTTCAGGAGCTTATATCTGGTTTGGAGGGACAATAAACCAGTATATAATAAATTTGATGATGCTTATTCATTTTTAAAAGATTTTAAAATGTAGATGGAGGGAAGAAAAGGGATAGAGAGTGAGGAGTACAGTTTTAAATTTACCTTGTTTTTATTGTGCTGAGTATTGAATCCAGGCCCTAAAGCCTGCTACATAAATGATCTATCACTGAGTCTAACCTAGAAGTACAATTTTGTGTGTTTTGTTTTGTTTTTTGAGGCAGAGTCTTGCTATGTATGCAGACTGGGCTTGAACTCACTAAGCAGTCCAGGCTGTCCTAGAACTTGGAGCAATCCTTCTGCCTCATCCTCCCAAGCGCTGGGATTACCATGCTTGCCTATTAGTGTAATTTTAGAAGTTGGCTAAGGGGTAGGGGTGCTTATCTGTGGAGGTGGATTTGAAATCTGAATGGAGCAAGGGAACCCTGCAGGGTTTGAGGAAGAATGTTAGAAGGCATAGAGAATGCAAGGAGTTAGGGGTGGCAGTGTTTTGGGTATTTTTGAAGTGAAGTATGTAGGCTACTGTCATTGGAGGAGAGGTAGGAAGTGAACCGAAAACTGCAAGCACTTCAGCAGGTCTTGGTTCTTTACCTGGCGGGGTGACCTATACCTTCATTCTTGACGGTTCTGCATCATTTTGTCATCCTGCCTGGATTGGGTTGTTGTGTTTTCCCACTGACCTTAGTAACGGGGCTTGGTAATACTAGGAGGTGCCCTGAGAGATCTCCTGCACTCCAGGTGTATTCTTCCTTTCCTCCCTTGTGGAGTCAATTCCCTGAGCAGTCTGGATCAGTCACCCCTGCCAACAGGGCAACTCCCTTTTGAATTCTTTTACTCAGTCATGAGAAACCCAAAATGACTTAGAAATGGAATTATTATTTCTTTGCTTGTTACTAGCCTTCCCCCTTCCAGAACTAAGACTTCTAGGCCAGCAGAGCATAAGGTTGTAGGATCAGGAAGCAGAAATTTTGCTAGTACCATTTCCACTTTCACCTAGATTCCTGGACTCTGAATCCTGGCTGTGGGAGAAACAGCACCATATAGTGGATTCTGATTCACTAGATCTTAGCCAAAAGGCCAGCATATACTGTATAGCCTTCTAAAGAACCTTGCCCCGGTCCTGCAGGTGTTACCACCACCATGTGGCCGGCACTGTAATTGCTGTACTAAGAGCTGGAAATAGCCAGGTGTGGTGGCACATGCCTGTAACTCTGGCATTCTGCGAGGCTGAGGCTGCAGGATCACAAGTTCAAGCCCAGTCTAGGCAATTTAGCATCCTGGTCTCAAAATAAAATTTAAAATGTGGGCTCATGTTGGACCTTTGAAGTACGTTGTCTTTTGTCTAGAGAGATGGGAAGCCATGGGGAGATTGAAAAAGAAAAGATAATCTAATAGGGAATCTTTTTTTTTTTTTTGGTGCTGGGGACCGAACTCAGGACCTTATGCTTGGGAGGCAGGCAGTGAAACCACTGAGCTAAATCCCGGGTCCCCTAATAGGGAATCTTAAAGAACAACTGGAAGCAGGAAATCTAATTAGAAAGCCATAAAAGTACTTTTTTTTTAAATGATAGAGGTTGAATCCGAAGTGTAGAGCATGCTAGAAACCACTGAGAAGCCTCTCAGCCCAGTAAAGATGCTCTTTTGTTTTGTTTTTTTGAGACAGGATCTCACTATGTAGTTGAGACTGACCTGGAACTCACTTTGTAGCCCAGGCTGGTCTCGAACTCACAGAGATCCTCCTGCCTCAGCCTCCCGAGTGCTGGGATTACAGGCGTGCGCCACCATGCCCAGCAGCCCAGTAAAGATACTCTTGATGAGAGTGGTGGAAGCTTTGAAACAGAGCTGTCAGCATGCGGTTGGTATTTAAAACTATGGAACTAAATGAGATCATTAAGGAGTGAGTTTTGCAAAGGGGATTAGGTTGAAAACCTACTGAGTACTGAGTCATTATGATAAGGAACCAGCAATAGATGGAATAGGAATGGTCATTGAGGGAGGAAAGAGAACTAAAATCCAGCTGGAGCCGGGCGTGGTGGCGCATGCCTGTAATTCCAGCATTCTGGAGGCTGAGGCAGGAGGATCTCTGTGAGTTCGAGACCAGCCTGGGCTACATAGTGAGTTCCAGGTCAGTCTCAACTACATAGTGAGACCCTGTCTCAAAAAAACAACAAAAAAAGAATGGGACCATTAAGAATAGGGTGGGTGTTGTGGTGCATCTCTGTAGTCCCAGAATTCAAGAGGCTGTGAGAGAGGAGGATTGCCTCAAGTTCAAGGCCAGACTGGGCTACACAGTGAGTGCAAGGCCAGTCTGAACTACATAGGAGACCTGTCTCAAAAAACTAGAAAAAGAATAGGACCAAAACTGACCTTTGGGTTTGAAAATCTAAAGGTATGTCATTGGTATTGAAGTACTTTGTTGGAGTGGTGACAAAAAACTGATGGGGTAGATTCAAGAGGAAATGGCAGGAAGGAAAAGGAAAAATGAAACAGCAAATACAGACAGTATTTTCCTAGAGACTTTGTTTTTTGTTTTTGGTACCGGGGATAGAACTCTGGACCTTGTGCTTGCGAGGCAGGCGGCTGAATGACTGAGCTAAATCCCCAGCCCGCTAGAGACTTTGATTTGAAGGGGATTAGAGCAGTGTATCAGTAGCTTGAGGGGACTGCAGTCAGGAGGGATTTATGATTAGGAAAGTTACAGCATGGCTCCTAGTGGTGTGGTTCTGGTGAGAGGGAGAAGGTGACACAGGGGAGAGGGAAAGTGATGATGGTGCAGTCCAGTGCAGAAGTGAAGGAGGTGGCTTTACCAGCTCATCTCATCCACAGTAACAAGGGGAAGGCTTGGGGGCCGGGAATTTTGGTAGGGGGCGTTATGTAGTGAATAGTGGGCCAGTTAGGACAACAGGTGAAAACAAAAGCTTAAAAAATGTGGGGTGTTTTCTTGATTGAGCATAGCTCTTAGGTTTAAGTTTGAGATGGAGGAGATGAGAACCATATAAGGGTGAGCTTTCAGTCAGCCAAACAGCCTGTGGCACATGTGTCATAAGTTCCGCTACCACTGCTCTCTGGAGTATGAGAGAAAAGGGATTGACCTGCAAGTCTTGGGCTTCCTGTGGTGACTTTCATAAGTGATATGGAGCAACTGTGTGTTATGCCACAGGTTGGGTTTTTTGTTGTTGTTGCTTGTTTCCGGGGATTGAACTCGGGTTGTACTTACTTTGAAAGGCCATATACCACGTTCTGTACACTGAGAATGTCTCAGCATAATCATTGTATCAGTAGAAGGCACCTTTCACTATACCCACCTGCTTTTTGTTTTTTTCCCTGTCCTACTGGGGATTGAACCCATGGATCCCTCAATTGTACCGCTATCCCTTTTTAATTTTTAAATTTTCAGTCAAGCTCATACCAAATTGACCTGCCTGGTCTTGAACTTGGTAATCCTGCCTCAGCCTCCCACGCAGCTATGAATATAGTTGTGCATCATTGGGCCCAACACATTGTATCCCCTTTTGTTTCTTTGGTTCCTGAGCTTGCAAGACAGTCAGAGGAACCACTAGCTACATCCCCAGCCCCATTCTTTTCTTTTCCTTTCTAGTCATAGGTCTTAACAATACGTGCAAATGGTGCTTTCTGCAAATCTCCAGATTTGACCAAGCAGCCAGAGCCCCTTACATTTGCATTTGCTCTGGCCCAGTCATTCCTTCTGCTTTCAAAAGAAATACGGTGATGTCTCAATTCACAAACTTAATTTGTTCACGATTCTGGAAAAGATGTCCATGTTCATTTTTTTTTTTTTTTTTTGAGACAGGGTCTCACTATGTAGCTGAGACTGACCTGGAACTCATTATGTAATCCAGGCTGGTTTTGAACTCTCAGCAGTCCTCCTGCTTGAGCCTCCTGCGTGCTGGGATTACAGGCGTGCGCCACCACGCCTGGCCCCATGTTCATGTTCTTAATGGCCACGATCAGGTTTGTCGCCTGATGGAGAATTTGTAGGCAGAATCAAAATTTTGCCAAATGTTTCTGTTTGTGAACCAAATTGTTGGAAAACAAATGTGCATGTGAACTGAGATACCACTGTGTAAAGGCTGGGGAAGTAGGTCACGGGGAGGACATGTAGAACAGGAGAGGCCCTGGATTTGATCCCCAGCATCACAAAAAAAAATGGAGAGTAAGGAGGAAAATGAAGGAGAGAGATTTGCAGTCGAATGTGGTACTGCACGCTTGTAATCTTAGCACTTGGGAGGCTGAGGTAGGAGGATCGCAGCAAGTTCAAAACCAGCCCAGGTGATAGTGAATTCAATGTCAGCCTGAACTGTGTAAGCAAGATCCTGTCTCAAAAAAGAATTACATGTGCTCAAATATTTGTACACAAGGATCTATCAACAAATGTTTATCTGAGAATAGTCTTTGGGCTTTTTTGAGACCGAGTCTTGCTATATAGTTCAGGCTGGTCTTGAACTCACCATGTACCCTAGGTTGGTCTCCAACTCACAGTAATCCTCTTGCCTCAGCTTCCTGAGTGCTGGGATTACAAACAAGAGTGCACCCACCATGCCTGACTTCTGAGCGTTATCTTTATTTTTTTAGGATAAGGTTATTTTGGCTTAGTTTGTAAAGATTTCAGTCCATAGTTAGCTGGCTCCAAGGCAGTGTGGCAGGGCAGAGAAGCAGCTCATGATATGGCGGGGGGGGTGTGTTATCTTTAACAGTGGAAAAGCTAACATCTTTGTCATGCAGCAGAGCATTAAAACATGGCGTGCCATGTTATGCTGTGATATATAGTCTTGTTCTTTTGTTTTATTGTTTTATTTTGACACCGGGTCTCGCTATGTAGTTTAGGTTGGCCTTGAACTCGCTGTGTAGGCCAGACTGGCCTTGAACTCATAGTGATCCTCCTGTCTCAGCCTCCCGAGTGCTGGGATTACAGATGTGTTTGCCACCACACCTGGCAGTATATAGTCATTTAAAGTGATGGTATACCAAACTTACATAGGAAACTGGGACTAAGAAATGATCTAGCTGGCTCTAGTTGAAAGCTGAAGTACACCCCAACATTTCTTTCATCTCTGTATGCAGTGCTATTTCTCATAGTTTCTTGCTACTTTTTAACCTGTTTTTGCATCTATTTCTGCTTAAGTGTGAATAATGGTGTCTGGTGGGGGGCGGTCTCTGGCAGGACTTACACACCTGTAGCAGTTAGCACCTGCCTGAGGCCACGCCAGAGTAGGTTTGCCAGAAGAAATAAAAACACATGTAGCTAACAAAAATGAAGGTGTAGGGCCAAGGGGTTTAGTTTAAAGGCCCAGTGCTTGCCTAGGATTCACAAGGCCTCTGCTTTGATGCCTGGCATGGGGTGGGGAGATGTTAATAAAAAGGGTAAAGACGTACCAGGATTCCTGTGGGAGTGTAGAAAGATGAATCCTGTGTGTAAGTACATCTTTTGTGCTTTAGGGTAGCTAACAGAATTCCTACGGGGATTTGTCATTTAATGGTTAATTGTCATTTAGTAGAATAGACTAGCATTAAGTAATGGGATGGCAGAGCTACTTTTCCCTCTTCCCTGCCATCAGGTGTTGGATAGGCTTTTGCACTACTTCATCCTAGGAACATTGTTTACCTTAAGCCTGTTTTATTTAGTTAGCATTAGAGCCATTTCGGAGGAGGGTTTGTGCTGATTTTGCTATAAATTGGTAAATGTTGTCCTAACATAAGACATTGTTTTCTCTAGGTAGCAGAGGCTCAACGGGCAGAGTTTAGCCCTGCCCAATTCTCTGGCCCTAAGAAGATCAACCTGAACCACTTGTTGAATTTCACTTTTGAACCTCGAGGCCAGGCAGGTCACTTTGAAGGCAGTGGACATGGCAGCTGGGGAAAAAGAAACAAGTGGGGACATAAACCTTTTAACAAGGAACTCTTTCTACAGGCCAAGTGAGTCTTTCTGCTACTATGGGAAAAGTGAAATTCAGTCTCTCTGGGTAGTAATATGCTATGAGGAAGCTGTCTTTCTTTTCTTTTCTTTTTTTTTTTTTTTCCTGTTTTTTTGAGACAGGGTCTCTATGTAGTTGAGACTGACCTGGAACTCATTATGTAGCCCAGGCTGGTCTCCACGATCCTCCTGCCTCAGCCTCCTGAGTATACTGGAATTATAGGTGTGCGCCACCATGCCCAGCTAGGAAGCTGTCTTTAAACTGCTATAGGAGAGAGCAGAAAGAAAATTGACCTGGTTCTCTTTTCACTCCTCTCTCTTTTACTCATTTTCCAACTTCTTGGTACTGTACATATAAGAATATAATGCTTAAATAAATATTTTTAGTATCATGATGAGATGGGAAAAATGGAGTTTGACCTAGATTTGAATCTTGTTTTGGCTTTTGACCTTGGGTAATTTACTTAGTCTTCATTCATTGATTCATTTATGTATGTGATACTGGAGGTTGAACCATTAGCTCATTTATTTACTTTTTTATTGAGACAGGGTCTCACTCTCAGGCCCCCCTTGAACTCACTATATAGCCCAATCTGGCCTCAAATTTATGATGGTCCTCCTGGCTCAGCCTCCCAAGTGCTGGGATTATAGGTGTGTGCTGCCATGTCTGGCTATTTCTCTCTTTTACTTTTATGTTTATTTTGAGACAAAATTTGTGATCCTCCTGCTGTAGCCTCGAAGGGTATTGGGATTACAGGCCTGCACCACCACACCTACCTCCTTAGCCACTTTGAAATTCAGCTTCTCCATTTTATTGTTTGTTTTTTTGAGACAGGGTCTCACTTATGTAGTTGAGACTGACCTGGAACTCACTGTGTAGCCCAGGCTGGTCTTGAACGCACAGCGATCCTCCTGCCTCAGCCTCCTAAGTGCTGGGATTACCGGTGTGTGCCACCACGCATGGCTTCTCCATTTTTTTGGTGGTCCTGTGGACTGAATTTGGGAGTGTTGAACTCCATTCCCAGTCCTTTTTAAGTTTGAGACAAGATTTCACCAAGTTGTGGAGGCACGGCTTGAACTTGTGATCCACTTGCCTCAGCTTCCCGGAGTAGCTGAGACTACAAGTATGCCCCACCATGCCTGGCTCCCCTTTTGTTTCCTTTCTTGTAGTAAGAATTGTAAGATTTGATCTTGGATCTAGACTGAAGTAATCATTATGTACCTTAACATAAACTCACCCAACTGTTTGTGAACAGTTTTGTACTGTCTTGAAGACTAGCCACGTTCTGGGGCTCTAAGGATGGCAGGAGGAAATCTGTTTACTGCTGGTTGAAGGAACCTAGTCTGGGTTAATTTTAGTTTTGGGGAGACCAGTAAGAAACTTGGCTGGGCTTGGAAGCAGAAGAAATAGTTCATGGGTTTGGACTGCTACCTGCTGAGTCTGGAATCCTTCCAGAGCCAGGTCAGAATTGAGGCTGAAAGTCTCATATAGTACTTCACAAATCATGGATGCTATACTGGCCTGTTTTTTAATTATAAGGGAAGAGATGAATTTCTGCTGAGGGCTTGGTGATTCTGACAGTCTGCTGCTTTCCTTTTTCCTCCCTATTTCTAGCTGCCAATTTGTGGTGTCCGAAGACCAAGACTACACAGCTCATTTTGCCGATCCTGATACCTTAGTCAACTGGGACTTTGTGGAACAAGTGGTGAGTAGCTTGATGAAACTTAGAACTTGTTGGTTTGAGAGAGACAGGACTAAAGAAAGGGGGAGTGGTGACAGGGCAGCTGTTGGCTGTGTTACTGCCAGTTCCTTTTTCTGCCTGGCCTTATGGTAGACATTTCCCTGAGGTCAGTCTCCATTTCTTCCTGGAGTTCATTTTGTAACTAATTGGCACTATCCTGCAGGGATGGGATATGGAAGTTTCTGGTCTGAGGTTAGGTACACAGTCATATTCTGCAACACCCTCTCCTGGGAAGTAGCAACCAGGGACTCTTGAGGGACCATCACTGTCCTGACCAGGTGGACTCAGTTATGTGAATATTGCTCCACTGGCAGACTTTTTATTTTGTTTTTTAATTTTATTTATTTTTTTTGAGACAGGGTCCCACTATGTAGTTCAGTCTGGCCTTGAACTTAACCCTGTCCCCAGGCTCGCTTCAAACTCAGGGTGATCCTCTTGCCTCAGTCTCCTGAGAGAGCTGGGATTGCAGGCATGCACCACCACTCTTAGCTGGCAGCCCTTTTAGTAATCAGTGTCAAGTTAGCGCACAGCTGCCATTCTGTCAGAGTCACTGCTAATTTGTTTTCTACTGAAGTTGTGAACTTGTTAGGATCTCTTTGCTGATCATAACAGGTTATGTGATGTAGAGGGTAACTTTCAAAATAACACTGTCCCTTCCTCTTGCCCTCCATCCCTCTTTTTTCTCTCGGTCTTCTTCCCTTCTTTTCTTCTTTTTATCCTTCCTAGCAGGGACTTTTTAGGGCCCCAAAGCTTAGAATTCCATTACTGTGAAAATTTGTGAAGTCCCCTGAGAATGACACAGAAAGCCTATAAAATTTAAGCTTTATATGCATTGGCTGAAAACTAAAGACATAGAGCAAAAGTTTTTTATTTTTGTTGGAAATCAAACTTTTGGACCCCTTTTTATGTCTTTCTGTGTACGTAGTATTTTTTATAAGTGGGTTCTTAGGATTTCTGCCATTTTTTTTCCTTTTAATGTAGAACCCCTAAACACCTATTAACATGTTTGCTTTATTAAACCATTATTATGGTTTCCTTAATGATTTAAAGTGCTGTCACTCATATATCTGCATTGTTAAATGATTTTATGAAGATATGTTGAATTAGAAGTGTGTGGGGATGAGAGAGGGGAGACTTTTAACTTTGACCACCCCTAGTTGATTGTGAAGGCAGTGAAATTTTGGTGCCATTGTGTTTCAGCGTATCCGTAGCCATGAAGTGCCATCTTGCCCAATATGCCTCTATCCACCTACTGCAGCCAAGATAACCCGTTGTGGACATATCTTTTGCTGGGCATGCATACTGCATTATCTTTCACTGAGTGAGAAGACTTGGAGTAAATGTCCCATCTGTTACAGTTCTGTGCATAAGAAGGATCTCAAGAGGTAAGACAGTGTCAGCTACTAGGTTAGATCCCAGTCTATGAACTCATTGATCTGCTTCATCTAAATGTCTTTGTCACAGTGTTGTTGCCACAGAGTCACACCAGTATGTTGTTGGTGATACCATTACAATGCAGCTGATGAAAAGGGAGAAAGGAGTATTGGTGGCCTTGCCCAAGTCCAAGTGGATGAATGTAGACCATCCTATTCATCTAGGAGGTGAGTTCAGTTAAATTTTGGTAATCTTGAGTACAGTTGTTAGTCTTTTAGTACTTCTGTAGAGTAAATTTAGCCTTTGAACAAGCCAGTTCTAGTATGACAAAGTTAGTTTAACCCTTAGTTTCAGGTTTGGTTCAGTTATATGTATCTAGGTATGTTAATTTTTTGTTTTACCTAGCTTTATTTAACAGTGTCTGGCATTGTGCCCAGTCTTTTTTTTTTTTTTTTGAGACAGGGTCTCACTGTGTCATTCAGGAACTCACTGTGTAGCCCAGGCTGGTCTCAAACTCACAGCGATCCTCCTGCCTCAGCCGGAGTGCTGGGATTACAGGCTTCTGCCACCACACTCAGCGGGCACAGCAGTCTTAATAGAAGAGACAGTTGATAGGCCATCAGGGTATAAAGTGTTAAAAAGTGCTTACAGTGGAGAAAGCATGAGCTGTTGTATTCCCATTTTCCTTATGTAATTGAGCATTTGATTAAAGTGCCATATAGTCTTTGAGGGGAAAACATTTCTCAAATGATATTGAAACAATTGATGGTTCTTACTGGAAAAATATCTCATTCTGTTCATAAAAATTATTTCAAGGTATCTTGAAGAACTAAATGTAAAACAAATTCAAATCTTCCAAACCTTTAAAAGAAAACAGTTTTCTTTTAAATATACTGGGGGTTGAACCCCGGACCTTCACACTGAACTGTGTCTCTAGCCCTTTATATTTAATGTTTTACTTTGAGACTGTATCTTAAATCTTCAGGAATGGATTATGTCTTAGCTAGTTTTCACATTGCTGAGACAAAATACCTGACACCCAAAATTAGGAAAGAAAGATTTATTTGGCTCATAGTTTGTAGAGATTTCAGTCCATAGCTGTCTCCAAGCCAGGCTGCCATGGCAGACAAGCATTGCAGGGGAGAAAACAGTTCATGGTGGGCAGAAGGCAGCAAAGCAAGCAAAGGACCTTAGTAGCTTCTTTCTGCCTCTTTTATACTCTGTCTATGATACTGGGATTAGGGCAGTGCCAAACCAAATAGTGGACTGATTTAGTCACCCCATACCCTTAATCCTAGTATCACACTCTACATTCACCCACCTCTGTAAAACCCCTACCTATGACTATGAGGTTTTGGGAAGACATCTAGACACAAACCATAACTAGGGTAGGGCTATAAATGGTATATAAGAAGAAATTAAGATTGATAAATTTATAAAAATGAAACTATCTGACAAGATTCCTTAAAGTTGACAAGTAGAGGAAGATTTATACATTTAAAACTAACAGCATTCCAAACAGATGTTCTGTATGTAAGTTTGATTAACCTAGTAGAATGGGCTAAGCATGTGACATAGCATTTTCCTATAAAGGAAATTAACCTCTTTGTATGTACAGAGATTTAGCTTGACTTAGTGTTATTTAGGTCAGTGGTGCATCAGATTGGCACTTTTCCAATTAAAAAAAGATACTAGTAACACTGGGTTTTATCAGGATTTGGGAAAGTAGCTAGCTAGCTGTTTCCTGTTCTTGGTAGAAATAAATTGATACCAAAAAAAGAAAGAAATTGGTACAGCCTTTTGCAGTTAGGTAATATTTAAAGACTGGAATAGTTAACCTGACTTTTATATTTAAATGTAAGGAAATAATTTATATGAATGAACATGTGTAAGGGTTTTTTGTTTACAATATAATGTTGTTAAATTGTCAATAACCTACCTAAATGTTCTCCCAAGGAGTTATTATAGTATATCATTTTGTGGAATACTAGGTAAAAGATAAGGATAGAATAGATTGATGTGTCATGAAGTTTTTGAAGAAAATAAGCTGCAGAAAAAGATCATTTTATTATTTACAAAAATTTTTTATATGAATATATGCATTTACATTTGTAGAAAAAGGTTTGAAGGATTTGTATTCAAATTTGTAAGTTGTCATCTCTTGGCCAGTACAAGGATAGGGTTGGAAAACATTAAGGGAATTTCAAGGAGCCATCAAGATAACACTGTTTGCCAGGTGTGGTGTCGCACGCCTGTAATCCCAGAAGAGCCTAGGCTACATAGTGAGACCCTGTCTCAAAAAAAAGATAACACTGTTTTAAACTTTGTAAAAATTAACAGAACAGCCAGGCTTGGGGTTGCACGCCTGTAATCCCAGGGAGAGGCTGAGGAAGGAGGATTGCCATGAGTTGGAGGCCAGCCTGAACTACAAAGAGAGACCCTGTCTCAAAACAAACAGGGCTGGGGATTTAGCTCAGTGGTTCCACTGCCTGTCTTGAAAGTACAAGGACCCGAGTTTGATCCCTGGTACCAAAAAACAAACAAACAAAAATAACACAAAATATGGGTGAAGAAATAAAGGAAATAAATCATACATGATCCTTTTACCCAGTGGTGCCCAAAATGTTAACAGTTGTCTTTATGCACATAAAGTTTTGTGAGATTGGGATTAGTTTTGCTAGTCTGACATCTGATTTTTCACAAAGCGTAGGTATTTCTGTCACTAGTTGGTTCCTCTTTGGAAAACCTTTTTTTTTTTTTGTACCGGAATCAAACTGGGTAGCTTGCACTTTTGGAGCAGGCAGCGGCACCACTGAGCTAAATCCCCAGCCCTTTAGAAAACCATTTTTATAGTCTACACATTTTTATTTTTTGGTACTGGGGATCAAACTCTGGAGCAAATGTGGTGCCACTGAACTAAATCTGCAGCCCCACAAAATTGTCTTTACTACATATACCATTGTGTAACCATCTTTTTTTGGACTTAACTGATTAGTACATAAATGGTGTAGTTAATAAACATTATGCCACTGAACATTTGACTTTTTCTCTGATTTCTTTAGACTATTTGTATTAATTGGGTTAGTTACCTGAGTTATGCTAAATACCTAATTTTCACTAGAAAAAAAAAGGTTGGATGTGAGAAAGGTGCTCTTTAGCTACACTGTCACCGGGTTGGAGTGTCAGATTTGTTTCATCTTGCTGGCTTTCTTGTAGATGAACAGCACAGCCAGTACTCCAAGCTGCTGCTGGCCTCCAAGGAGCAGGTGCTGCATCGAGTTGTTCTGGAAGAGAAAGTAGCCCTGGAGTGGCAGCTGGCAGAGGAGAAGCACACTCCTGAATCCTGCTTTGTTGAGGCGGCTCTCCAGGAGCTCAAGGTGAGAGGATGTGTTAGGAACTAAAAACCACATATGCTGAATTTAACTGCTCTGGGTTGGGGGGCAGTTACTTCAACCCTTCATTGAAGATAATAATTTGCAGTGACTGAAAAAAACCAATTGCCTCTCGGGTTTGTGTGGTGGTAATGGGAGGGAAGGGCTGCCTAGGTTTAGCAGGCTTTTTCTAGAGCTTAAAGGAAAAGATCAGAATAATTTTGAGTAATTTTGACAGTGGAATTTCTTGGTTTTTTTGTTTTTGTTTTTTTTTCTCCTGTACTAGGGACCAAACTCAGGACCTTGTGCTTGTGAGGCAGGCCGTGGCACCACTAAGCTAAATCCCCAGCCCCATAGATTGATTGATTGATTGATTGATTGATGGGGGGGTACCAGGGATTGAACTTGGGTCCTTGTGCTTGTAAGGCAGGCAGTGGAACCACTGAGCTAAATCCCTGCCCTGCATATATTTTTAATTAAGCAAAGTAGGTTCTTTCACGTCTGAAAAAAAAATACTAGATTCATTTTTACTATTACTATGGAGATAGTATTATGGCCTTAGCCGTACCTGCCAAGGACCCGGGAGTAGCAAGAATTACCTGAGTGAAGATTCTCTATCCTCCACAACAGCTTCCTTAAATTTAAAACATGGGCCCCGCAGGCTTGCTAATATGTGCTGGAACAAGTTCAGGGCAATGCTCATCCCCAGATCACACTTTTGAGAACCACTAGTGCGGCTCTCTGGGGGGACCCCGTCCCGCGGGGAGTAGGAGGTGAGAGCCGCCTCTTATTCGTGGGTCATCAGAGGCCGATCCGATCTTGAATGTCTGTGAAGGAAATCTTTAAGAAGTTAGAGTACACGGCCCAAGTCTGGTTTCTGATCAAAGGCGCTTTATTGGCTCAGCAAAATGATTATATACTGTTATCCCAGGGGGAAGGTTCAGCAAGCTTATTGGACAGCTCAAGCAAATCCTCTACCAATCACATGAGTCATTCAAGCATTTAACCATACAGCAATCAGTATTTTACCAAATGTGGGGAGGGGTAAGTGGGAAGGCGTACATCAACAATTAACCCTATGCAATCTTTAACTTCACAATCCCTAGGGGCAAGTAGGACAGGGAAATACCACCTGCTTCCTGCTCCAGATCCCGTGACCCTGTGGTTAGCACAAAGGGCTATTCTTTCTGTAAGATTTCCTGTTTGCCCAGGGGCTAGACCTGCCAAAAGTCACGTATGTAGTCTAGTGGGATTTTTCCACCGAGGCAAAGGCTAAGGTTGAGGGCAGCCATCTTATGCAGGCCCAAGCAGTCTCTCACACACTAGTCTAGACCAGGAGAATAAAAGCCCTCATTTATTGAGTGGTTTGTGTGTAATAGGCCTAGTGCTAAAATCACATTTGTAACTGCTGTTTCCTGCAGTAGCAGATGTGACTGTCCACTTTTATGGTTGATGAAATGGACCCATAGGATAGCTTATTTGTTCAAAGACATGTAACTAGAATGGGTGAGGCTGGCGTTTTAATTCCTATTTCTAGCCTTATGTAGTGAAATGTGCCTATAATCCCAGCTCTCTAGGGGGCCAAGTAAGTAGGTTTGCAAATTTAAGCTCCACCTGGTCAGTTTACTAATTTAGCAACTTAATATCAAAATCCTTTCTCAGCCAGGGATTTAACTCAGTGGTTCTGCTGCCTGCCTCACAAACACAAGGTCCCAAGTTTGATCCCCGATACCAAAAACAAAACAAAACAAAAACCCCCAAATTTCTCTGACTACCATGTCTTCTCGATGTCCTGTTTTGTGTGTATGTGTTTGTTTCTTTCTTCCTCTCTTCATTGCAATAGTATTTAAGTGCCATTTTATTTGGAAGAAATCCTACATAGAATTGAGCTGTCCATATTGTCCAGATTTAAGTGGAGCTAACTAAACCTCTCACCTTTTCTGGGCTTCTGGGTATGATTTGTTAAAACTAGAAGGCTAATTTTATGTTCTTGAATTTTTGTTCAGAAAGTTTTTGTGTTGTATTGTTAAGGTGAGTACTAGATATTTTTTGCTGCTGGTTTCCCTCAAAGTAGGGATTTTTTTTTTTTTTCTTTACTGTACTGGTGATTGATCAGTCAAGCACATTAGGCAACCAGTCTGTCATTCTCAGCCCAAACAGAAGGATTTAAGTGTCTAACCAAACCTTTCCCATTGGGTCTTACTGTCTTACTCTTGCCATTCTGTGGCACTTAACTTTCTTTGGTGTTCTCATGGCTTTAGACTCGGGAAGAAGCTTTGTCAGGATTGGCTGAAAGCAGAGAGGAAGTCCCGGGTGGTGTTGCTGCTCTGGAACAACTGGTGCTGATGGGTCCCTTGGCGAAAAAGTCGGTTTTTCCACCCAGAAAGGTCAGTGTGCCCCTGTTGCAGATCGGATGGCTGCCGTTCCTCAGATACTGCCATTGAGCTAGTAGGCACCTTTGTAAGATCTGAACTTTCTTGGGAGAAAAGAGGACTATTACTATTTCCTGTGTGTTTACTATTCTCTCTTGAGATACTAAATCCATGTACGTGAGAACTCAGATAAACATCAGAGGAGCTTTTATATGCCTATGTTTGCTACTTCCGTTCTAGAAAACAAGAGGTATACTTTCTTTTGACCTACAATTTGTTCCACCAGGGTGTGCTAGAATATCTGTCTGCCTTTGATGAAGAAACCACAGAAGTTTGTTCCCTGAACTCTCCTCATCCTCTTGCTCTCCCTCTGGTAGAAGAGGAGGAAGCAGTGTCTGAACCAGAGCCTGAGGGTTTGTCAGAGACTTTTGATGGCTCGGAGTTAGCAGATGACAATCTTGGGGAGGGGACTGTTTGTATTGAGTCCAGCCAGCAGGAACCAGTTGCTAAGCCTGGCTTCACACACCTGAGCAGCTCTCCTTGCTACTACTTTTACCAAGGTGAGGGTCCTGAGGAGGAGGGATGGGTTGCCACCCTGCTGGATGGTGTGGGGGATAGATGGGGAAGGGTGGTGGTGGTGGTGGTGTGAGTGTCAAAAGTGCCTTTCCGCACGGGTAGGGAGAGGCAGGCCTAGCCATGAGAGGGCCCATGCTGCGGGCTGCCCAGACTGTTGTGTAATAGAACCCTTGTCTTCAGCGGAGGATGGGCAGCACATGTTCCTGCACCCCATCAATGTGCGCTGCCTTGTGAGGGAGTATGGCAGCCTGGAGCGGAGCCCGGAGAAGATCTCAGCGACTGTGGTGGAAATCGCTGGGTACTCCATGTCTGAGGTAAGGGTGTGCCTTTAGAAGAGGAGGATCAGGGAGGGCCGGGGATTTAGTTCAGCGGTTCTGCTGCCTGCCTTGCAAGCGCAATAACCTGAGTTCGATCCCCGGTACCAAAAAGAAATGAGGATATCAGGGAGCAGCATTAACCTAATCTGTACAGGGTAGGTCTAGCCAACTTAAATCCATACACTTTTAGGCATTTATTTATGTATGTATATAATCCTAGGGATCAAACTTAGAGCCTTGAACGTGCTAACATGCTGTGCAAGTGCTCTACCTCTGAACTACAACTTCAGGTCTGTTTTATTTTTAATTAATTTTTGTGGTATAGGAATTAAACTCAGGGCCTTTGCACTGAGAGCTGTATCACCAGTTCATTTTATTTTACTTGTTTTTTTGGTATTGGTGATTAAAACCAGTTCTTTATTGATTTTTTTTGGGGGGGTGTGGGGGACCAGGGATTGAACTTGGGACCTTGAGGCGGAATCACTGAGCTAAATCCCTTGCCCTCCTTATTGATTTGTTTTTTTAAAGTTGATCTGAAATTTCATTTCAATATTAAAGGGTATACACATCAATTTTTGTTTTGAGACAGGGTCTACCTAAGTTGCCCAGACTGGGCTTGAGTTTGTGATCCTCCTGCCTCAGCCTCCCAGATGCTGGGCATATAGGATGTACCACTGTCCCTGGTACCTTCTGTTTTTGTTTTGTTTTGTTTTTGTACCAGGGATCGAACTCAGGGCCTTGTGCTTGCAAGACAGGCAGCGGAACCACTGAGTGAAATCCCTGGCCCTACCCTTTTTTTTTTTTTTTTTTTTTTTTTTTTTTTTTTGGTACGGGGATCAAACTTGGGCCCTTGCACTTGTGAGGCAGTCAGTAGAACCACTGGGCTGAATCCCTGGCCCTGGCTGTGAATTTTTAAAAGAGTTACTTGGTTTTCCTTTACTCTGCCAGGGTTCTGGTAAGTCAGTTTCCACTGCTCCCTGCATCTTAGGTTTATTTGTTGTACTTTAGGGAAATTAAGCATCCTCTCTTTTCAATCATGATGAAACTTGTTCTTATTTTTTTCTCCTTACTCCTTGGGAGAAGTTTCCAAAAAATATGAAATCCTTTGAGGCTTTAAGCTAGGCTACACGTGCTTGAAGAGCATTTTAAGCATAGTACCTGAGTTTTGGTCTGATAATTTACACATGAGAACTTTTGGCCTTAGGGAGTTATCCTTATATTGTTCACAAATTATTTGTAGGTCTCAAAATTAAAGACTTTGAAAACTCTGAACTTTCCATTGAACCCACTCAGAAAAAGCAAGAAAAGAAAATTAAACTTAAACTGAAAGCTTCATTTTTTACTGTTTCGAGTCAAACTTCTTTTAAGTAGGGAAACCTGATTTTTATTAGTTGTCAGTGGTTCCCAAGTGTTTTCTCTCCTCCTCTGTTCCCCTCTTTCCCTCCCTTTGTTTCCTCCTCCCTCTCTCCCTTCCTTCTTTTTTTTTTTTTGGTACTGGAGATCAAACTTGGGTCCTTGCACTTGTGAGGCAGGTTCCGGAACCACTGAGCTAAATCCCTGGCCCTCTCCCTTTCTTCTCAACACTGTTTTATCTCTCTCGTTCTCTCCCCTCAGTTGTGATGAATTTTAAGTCTCTTCATAAGACATGAATTTTATGTCTGAATATATATACAGTTAGAAATCTGGGTTGGGACTCAAGAGTTAGCCCTGACCTTAGTTGAGTATGGTCCCTTTTCCAATGTAGGATGTTCGACAGCGTCATAGATATCTCTCTCACTTGCCGCTCACCTGTGAGTTCAGCATCTGTGAACTGGCTCTGCAGCCTCCTGTGGTCTCTCGGGAAACCCTAGAGATGTTCTCAGGTGAGAAAGCCTGTTTTACTTTACAGTGGAGTATAAAGGGGAAAGGACTCCTGGGGAAACCTAATGTGAGAAGAGATGGAAGGACTGGTGTGTAGTGAGTCAGTCCCTGCTGAAACTCTCCATTGGTCTAGTCCCAAAGGACTAGTCCATAAGTGTGGTCTCAGCTCCTCAGCTAGGAGGAATTACGGACCAGATGGTCTGGGGTCTGCCTTCTTACAACTTGACCGACCCACAGATGATATTGAGAAGAGGAAGCGTCAGCGCCAGAAGAAGGCTCGGGAGGAACGTCGCCGAGAACGTAGGATTGAGATGGAGGAGAACAAGAAACAGGGCAAGTGTAAGTTCATTAACTCTCATCTTTGACTGGGTCTTCTGTGAGTCATTGTGTGGGGCTGCGTGTCCAGGCCTAGGAGCCTCAGGTTTGCCATTATTTTTCTTCCACTGTCATGAGAGTACCTTCTCTAGGCTTGTTTGAGAATTTCATGAGTTCATATGGGTCAGAGTATCCATAACACATAGTAAAGATGAGTTTCATCCTCGCGTAGTCAGTGATAAAAACCTGTTCCAGAGAAGGGAATGGGAGCTCCGCTGAAGTTCTGAGGATAGTTGTTCCCTGCACTCTGTGGATCATGGACTTTACCCACATTAAAGGAAGCAGCTCTACCGTGTAGAGTCAAGAGTATCTGCATCCTTGTGGGGTGTGGTGGTGCACGCTTGTAATCCCAGCACTTTTTGGAGGCTGAGGCAGTAGGATCGCCTTGAGTTCAAGACCAGCATGGGCTACATAGTTCTAGGTCAAGTCTCAACTACATAGTGAGAGCCTGTCTCAAAAAAACAAACAAACAAAAAAGAGTGTCTGCATCCTTGGCTAGGCGAAGGGTTTAGCTGTAAGTATGTGTGAACTTCCAGCCAGTGCTAATTGGCACATAGCCTGAGTTTGAGAAAACAAATGTTTCAGGACAAAATCCCCCTTGCCCCAAATCAAACAATACCTTGCACTTGCCAGGCAGGCATGGCACCACTGAGCTTAATCCCCAGCCCAGGATTTTTTGTTTTAATGTTTTCTCTATAGAACTATTCAGAGAAATAGAACAATGGTATACTGAACCCCTATGTTTTATCACCCAACTTCAATTGTTTTTTTGTTTGTTTTGTTTTGAGACAGGGTCTCTGTAGTTTAGGCTGGTCTCAAGCTCTCAGTGATTCTCCTGCCTCAGCCTCCTGAGTACTTTCGTGCGCCACCACACCTAGCTTTAATTGTTAACAGAACAAGTTTTTATATTAAAGACTAATTTTTGTTTTCCAGATCCAGAAGTCCACATTCCCCTGGAGAATCTACAGCAGTTTCCTGCCTTCAATTCATATACCTGCTCTTCTGATTCTGCTTTGGGTCCTACCAGTACTGAGAATCAAGGAGCCCTCTCCCTTTCTCCTCTTAGCAGAAATCCAGGTTCTCATGCAGGTAAATAGTTGAGACTTAAGAAATCAGCCACGGGATGGACCTGAAGTAAAACCCTGGTGTCTACTGACCTACTGAGCATAGTGTGGTCTTTGGGCAAATAGCCTTACTCTGGGTAGTTTTTTTGTTTGTTTTTGAGACAGGGTCTTACTGTGTAAGGCTGGCCTTGAACTCCAAGGGTTTACAGGCATGTGCTACCACACCCAGCACTCAGGTAGCTCTAAGCTACATCAAATTCTTGCCACTCAATTTCCTTCTCCCATTGGCTGTACTGATTTCTTATACCCTGTCAGCTTCTCAAAACTTCAAGGAGGAGCTGGGGATTTAGCTCAGTGATGCCACCACCTGCCTTGCAAACACAAGGTCCAGAGTTCAATCCCCGGTATCCAAAACAAAACAAAACAAAAAACCTTCCAGGTAGCTCACTAAGAATGTATGAAACCTACATTCTTTCTTGTGACTCAACTATCTTATTTCTACTTTTTAGATGTGAGGTATATTCCCTGCATCCTTAAGTCTTTGTATGTATCTCTTTATTATAGTAGTAGTTAGAGCAGCAAAAAGAAAATGACTTATACAATTTACTGATAGGGAAATGGCTAATTATAGTATTGATGCTATGAAATACTTTATTGGAGAAGGAAATCACTGTCTTTGTGAACTAGAGGGGACAAAAAAGCTGTAGAACAAGAACAAATATCATTGCGGGGGCACAAAACAAAACTTCATTGAGGGTTTATATACTTAAGTGTATACCAAACAGGTTGTTCAAAGAACCTTTGGACTTTTTCCCCCTTAAAACAAAACAAAACCAAACCACACACATGTATATTTTTTTCTTACAGAGAGTGTATTATAATGTTACAATTACAGTGTTATGAAATGAAACACTGGCTAAGCCAGGTGTGGTGGTGTATGAATTCTGGGAGGCTGAGGCAAGAGAATCATAAGTTTAGGCCCAGCCTGGGCAACTTGCAACTTAGCCAGAGTCTGTCTCAAAGAAGATCCGGTGATACAACTCAGAACGTCCTGGGTTCACCAGTACTATAAAAACCAGCATTCGAGAGAGCTCTTTTTACTGACCATCTGGGCAGATTTTTTTTTAACAACTTATTTTCTATTTTATTTATTTATTTTTTGTTACCAGGGATCGAACTCGGGTCCTTGCACTTGCAAGGCAGGAGGGGGAACCACTGAGCTAAATCCCCAGCCCCATCTGACATATCTTGATGCTTCTCAAGCTGAATGGGCTGGTGTACTCCTGGAGTCCCAGCTTACTGGGGAGGCTGAGGCGGGAGGAATGTGAGTTTGAGGTCAGCCCGGGCAACTTAGCAAGACCTAGTCTCCAAAGAAAAAGATTTACTTCTTTGTCAGGCATTTTTAAGAGAGTGTTTAAGATCATAACATTTAAAACTGTTGGTGACCCTGTGATCATATGCCTGTGACTTCACAGATGAACTGGGCCTAGAGCTTGGTTCTTTTTTTTTTTTTTTTCTTCCTTTCTTTTCTTTTGGTAGTGGGGGTCAAACTCGGGTCCCTGTGCTTGCAAGGCAAGTGGCAGAACCACTGAGCTAGATCCTTGGCCCACGCCTGGTTCTTGAGGACTGCATAACCATGGTACTCTTAAGACTTAACTGAGAAGGGAGCTGCTGTATGAAGGAATACAGTAGTTCATTGGATAGATAGATAGATAGATAGATAGATAGATAGATAGATATAGATAGATATAGATATAGTATTTGTGGTTTAAATATTGTTTTCTCCTGTACTAGCTTTATTGAAAGTATGGGCTTTTTTTTTGGTACCAGAGATCGAACTTAGACCTTGTGCTCACAGGCAGGCAGTGGCACCTCTGAGCCCTTTGCCTTTTTATGTTTTGTTTTTTTTTTTGAGAAAGGGCGTCGCTGTGTAGTTCAGGCTGGCCTCAAACTCACTATATAGGCTGGCCTCGAACTCAGAGCAACCCTCTTGCCTCAGCCTCCCGAGTGTTGGGATTACAGGAATGCACTACCAAGCCCGGTGAAAGTATGGGCTTTTGATGTATTTCAGCAAGAGCAGCTGGGTGATCTGAGAAATAAAGTACTAAACAGCCCTGCATGTATAGGGAGGGGTCTGTTACTGGGAGGACAACTAGTCTACTCTTGCCTAGTAATGTCCAGGGCAGTGCATAGGCTGCTGTGGGAAATGATCAACTCTAGATCAGAAAGGGTAGCGAAGAGTATTAACAACCTAGAGAGTATAGGGAGAAAGTTTGCATATTGGTGCTGCATCTCGTTGATGTGTTTCATATATGATAATTGAATGCTCCCTGATCATAGACATCTGCTGGCTGGAACATAGGCTGACCTGAGTTTTGTCTTTTTCTTGGAACTTTTCCATTGATAATAAAACCAGTCCAAGACAGTATCTAGGTAACGAGCCATCCTTTGTGGAAGGTCTAGCATTTCATAAGAAAAGGGTTATTCTTTTTACTTTTGGGGGTGTATCAGGGATTGAACTCTAGACTTTGGATTTTGTGCTTGTGAGGCAGGCACAATGCCACTATGCTAAATCCCTGGCCCAGGAAAGGGTTGTTGTTGTTGTTGTTATTATTATTATTATTATTATTATTATTATTATTATTATTATTTTGTTGTTGTTGTTGTTGTTGTTTTGAGACAGGGTCTCACTATGTAGTTGAGACTGACCTGGAACTCACTATGTAGCCCAGGCTGGTCTCGAACTCACAGCGATCCTCCTGCCTCAGCCTGGCAAGTGCTGGGATTATAGGAATGCACCACCACACCCAGCTCATGAAAGGGTTATTCTTAACAATAGAAACAAACAAAAAAGGATTCTTGTTGTGAAACTAGATCCCACCATGATTCTCAGTTCTGCTATTAACTAAAGTTTTTTCTTTCTCCACTGATCACTGATGTTCACAGGTGATGTTCTTGGCTTTATTAGAACATGCCAGAATTGGTTGGATTAAGCTTACATGGTGTGTGTGGGGAGGTATTGGTAATTATCCAGACCTGATTCAGGGTTCGTCTTCCTTATTAATACTAGCCCTTTGGAACTTGACTCATATAATCAGGTCTCTGGTTCTCTTTCAGACTTTCTGTTGACCCCTCTGTCACCCACTGCCAGCCAGGGCAGTCCCTCACTCTGCGTTGGAAGTCTGGAAGAAGACTCTCCCTTCCCTTCCTTTGCCCAGGTACAGCTTTTGCTTGTGAAGCAGGCCAAAGGTATTTAACATGAGCTTGGCTGTTTATTCTTCTGGGAATCTTATCCAGGGATTGTTGTCCTTTGTTGTGATACAGCTGGATAAAGTGAATCATGTGATGGGTATGAGGGAATTGCCAGTTGGTGGTTTAGGCAGCAAAAAGTGGCTGGGAATATCTTTTGGGGACAACGCTCTATTGGAATAGACTTAAAGGCTGATGTTGCATCAACTATAATGCATAATTGCAGGAGATTTTCTTAAGAGCGAAATTCATGGTTTCAGTCTTACATACTACTATAGACTTACACAACAAAGAGGACAAGAGTAGTTGAGGGGGAGAATCTTAAGTTCTGATTATTTTTTTAAAAATAATTACATTCTTGTAAACTGGGTACTCTTCTAGGGGCTGGGAATACATTGGTTAATTTTAACTGGTCCCTGGTTCTAGGAACTCTTACTCAGGTTCCTCTTCACTTGGGGAAGGGGGAATGGATGTCTTGGTTAACCTATAACTAGCCTAAGCAGCATCCTTGGACAATAAAGTGGGGAAAACATTAAGCTAATGAGACTCTATATCAGATCACTTTATTAGTCTCTTTTTTTTTGGTGGTGGGGGTATCTGGGATTGAACTGTGGCCCTTGCGCTTGCAAGGCAGATAGATGGCAGAACCGCTGAGCTAAATCCCCGGCCCACTTTATTAGTCTTTTAAAACAACAAGCAGACATTCACCATTCGTATCTTCAGATGGCTGAGGAAGATGGATGGGCAGGTTGAGAAGTGCTCCATAAGAAGTCAGTCTGAACTTGTTAGGGCCAAGTTTGGAATAACTGCCTTAAAAGTTCTTTAGAGTATTTAGGTGTAATAAGCTTAAGTTGAAAATATTTTTAAATTGAAAATCCACTTGATACCCCTAAACTACTGAACACAATAGATCAGCCTCACTCACCTTAAACAAACATGCTCTGAACACTTACATTAGCCTTCATTTGGGCAAAATCATCTATTAACACAAAAGCCTGTTTTATAGTATGTTGAATATCTTATGTAATTTATTGATTATCAAAAATGAAAAAGAATGGGTGGATACTCTTTTGTACCATTATCAAGTTGAACCATCTTAAATTGGGGACTGTAGTTGATGTGGGTTTTTCCTCATAAAAATGGCAGGACTGAGAAGATAAGCAGAAATTAAATTTTGGTAAGGAGGATCCTATGGTAAAGAGGATGAAATAATTTGAGGGCAGTTCTGGAAGTTTATTACTATACTGCAGAAGTAAAAAGCAAGTGCCGGGTATGGTGGCGCACGCCTGTAGTCCCAGCACTTGGGAGGCTGAGGCAGGAGGATCGCTGTGAGTTTGAGACCAGCCTGGGCTACATAGTGAGTTCCATGTCAGTCTCAACTACATAGTGAGACCCTGTTTCAAAAAAAAAAAGTAAAAAGTAAGTGACTCGCAGGAGTTATGCCAATTGCTTAAATTTTTATTTTATTTTATTTTTTCCTCTCATTATTGGGGATTGAACTCAGGACCTTTTGCTTTCGAGTTAGGCATGGTACCTGTGTTAAATCCCTGGCCCAAATGCTTAAATTTTTAAAATTAGATTCTGAGATGAATGTGATTATAATGTATACCTAAAATGTACCAACAAACTTAATGAATAAAAATAACTCCATATTTAAAGAGTTCAAAGAATAGTAATAAGAACATTCATACATTTCACCTAGATTCACCAGTTCTTACTATTTGCTATATTTGCTTTTTATTTTGTGTAGAAAATAAATTTGAGACACCACTAAATACTTAGGAGATACATGTCAAATGAAATCATTCTCTAGGTTGGGGATATAGCTCAGAGGTGCTTTTGCTTAGCATGTGTGAGGCCGCAAGTCCAATTTCCTACTAGCACCACAGCACAAAACAAAAACCAAAAATTTCTATAAGCCACAACTGCCATGTTCAAGAAACTCAACTGCTACAATATCGAATGTACTAATTTCTATCTCCCTATTTCTCTCAGTGTCCTTATTTTCAATTCAGGGTGTAATCAAATTACTCACTGCATTTAACTGTCATATCTTGGTAGACTTCAAGGATAATGTATGCATGCTGTTGGCTATTTCAGGATAAGTTTAGTGTGTAATTATGGAAGGTCATACTTGGGTGGTTTGTTTTAGAATCAGAGGGTACTAAACATAGTTTATTCCAACAGGTTGTTTTTAGGGGTCTTAAGAAAGGTAGCAAAGTTTACCAAATTAGTGTTATTAACTTGAGAACCCGAGTAAGAATCTTTATATATAAAATGTTCCTCACGTATTTTCCAAGAAACAGATCAGCTTAGGCTTTACCACCTTATGGGTTGCACTGTCATTTCCATAGGTGCTATATACAGTGGTACCTCAGTTCACAAACTTAACTCATTGCATTCTGGAAAAGATGGCCATGGTCATGTTTATCACTCTGCAGTTTATAAACAAAAACAAAATTTTGCCTAACACTTCTGTTGGTGAACCAAATTGTTCACCAGCAATTCAGCAGCATTCATGAACTGAGGTGCCACTAAGGGACATGACTCAAAGAGTGCATTTTGAGGTGCTTGGCAAGTAAATCTTCAAAGGTGATGGTTGGTGGGCCGGGGATTAACTCAGTGGTTCCACTGCCTGCCTTTAAAGCACAAGGTGCTGAGTTTGATCCCCAGTACCCCCCCCAAAAAAGGTGATGGTTGGTTTTGCGCCCCTCACTTAACCATTTAGTGTGAAGGTGAGCATCTAGGAAAAAAGTTGAAAATTCACTCTGTCTTCCCATTTTGGCAGATGCTGCGGGTTGGAAAAGCAAAAGCAGATGTGTGGCCTAAAACTGCTCCAAGGAAAGGTGAGGGGGGCCTGCTGGTGAAGGGTAAGTTTGGCTCCTTTCAATAAAAGCTCTAGAATTATAACACTGTTTTTGTTGGTTTGTTTTTAGATGAGAACAGCTTAGTTCCTCCTGCCCCTGTGGACAGTGATGGGGAGAGTGATAACTCTGACCGTGTTCCTGTACCCAGTTTCCAGAATTCTTTCAGCCAAGCTATTGAAGCAGCCTTCATGAAACTGGACACACCAGCTACTTCAGATCCCCTGTCTGGTAAAGGCAGAGAACTGGAGTGCTCAGCGTAGGGCTTTTAAACTTACCACACATGTGTTGTCAGCGGACACCTGGGTTGGTCAGGCTGTTTCACCTCTGAGTCTCTAGGTCTCAGTCTTCAGTACACTTGATTGTTAATGTTCCACTTGGTATGTTAGTCATCTAGCACCTGTTTACTACCCCAGATTAACTGTTGAAGCCTAGAAGTAAAATTCTGAGGAGCTTTTTTCTTCCGGTATTGATGAAATGATCCTGCCTGTATATTAGATCTTGAGTTGGGAAAGGCTGATTCGTAAAAAATTCAGGCTCGGGGGCCCACCCCCACTCTGAGGTCTGCAGTTAGATAAGAATGATGGTGTGCTTTATATGCCTAGCATTGTGCTAATTTTATTTTCCCAGAACCAATAAATGGGTGTAAATCTCAAGTTACAGACAAAAAACCTGAAATCTAGGGAGGTTAAGGTGACTTGCCCAAAGACAGTACATAGTATATGCTACAAATAGTATTTAAATCCAGGCAGCCTAATTACAGGTCCTGCCAACACTCTTAATATTGAGCAGGTCAGGGTCCCAGGGTGATTTTGTAAGCTAAGTGAATTCTCTTTCTGTTTCCCTTTAGAAGAAAAAGGAGGAAAGAAAAGGAAAAAACAGAAACAGAAGCTCCTGTTCAGCACCTCAGTCATCCATACGAAGTGACACTACTCGCCCAGGCTACCTTCTCATCTGGTTTTCTTTTTTCTGTGCTTTGTTTTGCTGCTGTAATTTTTAAGTATTTGGGTTTGAACAGATTAGCTTGGGTGGGGGGAGGGGGTTTCCACATGTGAGGGGGAACCAAGCAAATTTTAAATACAGTGTATTTTCCGGCTTCCCATCTTTACACCAAAATAAAGTATTGACACTCTGAAGATCTCTTCCTGCCAAGATTTTTAGTTTGTAGCCAATTTAGGCTTTTTGACCCATGTGTAGTAATTGTCTCAACCCAAAATAAGTTTGAGCCCCCTTTTTAGTTTCCATCAGTGCATCCCAAATTAGTGCTGTAGCACTGCTGTACTGTGGCAGCATGTCAGGCCTTCCTGGTCTCTCAGTGCACCATCAGTTTGTCTTTGGAAAATTGAATCCTTCCTGTCTAGTTCTCCTTATTAAAGAAACAGTAATGGGATCTGGTCATGGTGGTGCACACTTAAAATTGCAGCACTCTGGGACGATGATGCTAAATTGAAAGTTTGAGTCCAGCCTGGGCAATTTAGAAGTGAGGCTTTGTCTCAAAAATAAAGACTGGGGGCCTGGGATTTAGTTCAGTGGTTCCACTGCCTGCTTTGCAAGCGCAAGTTCCCAAGTTCAATCCCTGTTACCCCCCCACCAATAAAATAAAAATAAAGACGGGGGATGTAGCTTCTTGTGAAAGCGCTGGATTCAAACCCCAGCGCCTGTGTGGAGGAGAGCTCTGCCCCTTAAACCTGGCTTTGGTAAGGAAAAGCTATAATTATCACTAAGACCTGCCACTTGCTCAGATCAAGCCTATGTGACAGTGGCCTGAGTTGTAGAAACAGGATTCTAGAACACCTGGAATTGTGCCTCTTTTTTGTCTGCAGCAGCTTTTTTATGCCTTGGTTTCAGCTGAATTTTGAGTGATATGAATTATTTTGCTGCTTAATAAAGTGACCTCTAGGTGTAATAGAATGTAAAAAGCACAGTTGCAATAAATCACATGCAAACACAACGTGAACTTCTTGGTCTTTTAAAACTCATGACAGGTCAGCTAGGCATGTCAGTTTTTTGTGGGGTTTTGTTTGTTGTTTCATTTCTTAAATTTAGGTTAAAGTGTTTGCTTCAGTAGCACATACACTTCATTTAGGTTAAAGAACAGCTACTGAGTGAGCAATTCTCTTCCTATAGACTGATGTTTTCTCTGGTGTCAGGCATAATGCGGAGCTTAGCATTAACTTGACATTTTTGAAAATTCTGCAGGGTAAATGAAGGTGTCTCAGTTCAGAGATAAGGAGCACACTGAAGCCAAAAATCAGATCTTTACAGGCTGTAAAATATTTTGTGACATCCTTTCATTACAGAAAAAAACAAACCCTAGAGATGCCCCACCCACTCGCCCATGTAAAAAAGTTTTTTTTTTTTTTCAGGGCTGGGGACTGAACCAAGGGGCCTCACACTTAGGTTTCATTCCTAGCCCCTTTTGAGACAAGATCTTGCTAAATTGCCCCAGGCTGGCTTGCAATTGTAATTTTCCTGACAGCCTCTGAGATAACAGATTACAGAGGCATTATCTTACCAAGTAACTTGGTTGGTACTGGTAAAGAATCTAGTATGAGCAAGCAGGGGGTTTAGCTCAGTGGTGCCGCTGAAAGTGCAAGGTCTCAAATCAATCCCCAGTAACAACAACAAAAAAAAGTATAAAGCCCAGTAGCAATGGTGGTGAACCTAAGGCACAGATGTCAGCAGGCTGTTTGTACTGTTGAAAGCTGTAAAAGTTGCCATTACTGCTCTATAAATCAGTACTGTAAGTCCTCGATTTATAAACAAGTTCTGTTCTGGGAGAATTGTTCAGAAGTTTGATTCATTTGTTGTAGACCAACAAAGTGAATCTTGTACAGTATACCTGTGAAAGTTTGCAATTCAAATGTTCCCAAGTTGGGGACTTATAGTGAAACTGGGCCAGACAGGGTGGTACACACCTGCAATCCCAGCACTCTGGGAGGCAGGAAGGTCACAAGTTTGAGTCCAGCCTGGGCTGTATGAAAATAAAGGTGGAGAAAAGGCTCAGTGTGAGGACCTTGTGTTCAAATCCTGTTTCCCCTCTTCCAAAAAAAACACAAAAACCCCTGAGACTGTAAATAGATCTGTGCAAAATTTAGTTGCTATTTCTCACTAATGCTCTATTTTAAGTGACTTGTTTTGCTTAGGCTCCAACCTGGGGATTGGAGGTACAAAGCCTCACGTGGAATACTATTTACAATTCATCATACAAGGAGCCAGTCTTTTCACAGGCCAGAGCTATAGAAAGGGAGAGAGACTTGGTCAAGCATAAATTCTGTAAGCCCTGTTGTCGAAACACAATACCTGACACCCACAGTGAGAAAGGTTTATTTTGGCTGTTTGTAGATATTTCAGTCCACAGTAGGCTAGCTCTAGGGAAGGGAGGCATGGTAGAGAGAACACTTCATGGCATGGCTGTGGGGAAGCAAAAACATCAAGGAAGGAGGGCCGGAGATGTAGCTCAGTGGTGCAGCACCTGCCTGGCAAGCTGAAGGCCCTGAGTTCGATTACCAGTCCCCCCCCCAAAAAAAAAAGACGAAGGAAAGTGGTGGGTAGGTGGCCCTTCTGGGGCACATCCCTAGTGACCCACCTCTGACATTTCACCTCCCAATACCCTATCTAGCTATAAACTCCTAAATGGACTAATCTGCCGGGAGTGTCAGCTCCCAAAAGCCCCACCTATGAGCACTTGAGGTTTTAGGGGACCATGTAGTTCATAAACTTTAACACTTTTATAACTTACGCTAAAGGTTATAGAAACCAAGTACATTTAGCCTATTCTCATCCAAGCATTTAGATACAAAAAATGTCTACAGAGCCTTCACGAACCTACACAATCATTTACCCAGGGGAGGCTAGATAAAGGAAACCAGTTTAAGTCTCCCATGTGGAGCTGCTCATTTGTCCTCTGGTTGGAGCCCTCCAGTTGGGAGAACTAGATGCCGTTCCTACCCCCTAGAAGGTCCAGTTTTTCAAGTGGGCTTGGGCACAGTGCAGCCTGCTGTGTGGCAAGTAGAGTTCACGCCACTGTTTCAGTGGCCTCATCATCACTGTCTGAAAGCTCCTCACCAGACTCCTCTTCTAGGAAACAGCTTCTGGTGACAGATTTCTGGATAGCGTCCCGCTCTCCTGGAGAAAGGCAGAGCCGAAGATGTTTGGGAGTGATCTCTGCTGAAGAAGCTGAGTCACTCGTGCGCACTGAGCTAACATCCTTACCTTCATCAGTGCAGTTCTGCAACAAGATCAACAGCTGTCTCCTGTTGTACTGAATCAGGAACTTCTGACATGTTCTAATTGTACCTGGCATGGGAAAGTTTTTGTGGTGGTCAGCACATTGTGAAAGGTTTCTAAAATACTTTGAAGCTGAGGAAAAGTATCTTGTTCGTAGTGGGCTAGCAGGAAGACCCACCCATCTATCTACATCTACTCCTACCTCCCACGTGCAAAGTGTTGAAAAAACAAGGATAACGGTGTCCTTTGTTCTCCAAGTACGTGAGGAAAGGAAGGGCTGACCACACGAGCTGGTAGAATTCTTTTCTGCATCTAAGTAGCACTATTCCAGTATAGACATTGAGGTATCGAACTACAGCAAGAAGAAAAACACATCAGGTTAAATAATCTCAGGGAAGCCTGGTGTGGTGGTGCATGCCTGTAGGAGGCTGAGGCAGGAGGATCGCTGTGAGTTGGAGACCAACCTGGGCTACATAGTGAGTTCCAGGTCAGTCTCAACTACATAGACTCTGTCTCAAAAAAAAAAAAATCTGAGGGAAATAGCCTGCGGTGACAGACTGCCCCGGGCAAGTGGCACTTCAGGGGATGCTGTCAGCAAGTAAAAAGACTCCTGAAGAGGGAGGAAAAAAACTTCAGGCCAAGCCATGACTGTGGAGGGGCCAGTGTCTTACACATCACTTAGGCTTGGTGAATTAATTTAGGATTTAAAATACTCATAGTCACTATGTAAATGGGGTGGGAGAAGATTCATCTTCACTCAGCAGAGGAAAAAAATTTGCGGAAAAACCAGTAGTTTTGTTGCAGTTGGGCCCTGTAGATCCTAGCAGACGGCTGTCTCACCTGAAATAAGGGGAATCATGCCTGCTTCATGTTAGGATTCAGGTTTGGGATTATGGTGAACGAAGGCGCTAATTTAAAAGGGGAGGGATGTTCGGTTCATCCTTTTTTTGGTTTGTTTTTTGGTACGGGGGTGGGGGGCATTGAACTCAGGCTCTGTCGACCTGTTTTTGCATATGCACAACCATGCATTCTGTACTTACTGACGCTTAAAGGCTTTTTTTCTTTAAAGATGGTCTTCCTATGTAGTTCAGGGTGGGCTCGAATTCATGAAGATCCAAGTGCCTCACTGCTAGTTGCTAGAATTAGGCACGCACCACTATACCTTGACTGAAAGGCTTTTTAGGTGGTAATTTTGGTAACAAGTATTTTTTTTATGTGACGTCAATGTGGCCGGTCAAGTAACCTTGTTAGGAACTATATGCCAATTCTCAATTATCCTATTCAATAGCAATCCCCATGATACAGAAGTAAAACAGGTAAAGAGAAGATTCTTAAACCCAAATCCCGCTGCCTCCCGGCCCGATTGAACCCGGGCCCTTGCGCTTGCAAGGCAAGCGAGAGAACCACTGAGCCAAATTCCCACCCCCCCAACCCCTTTTTTGAGACAGGGTCTCACTATGTAGTTCAGACTGGCCTCGAATTCTGGCGATCCTCCTGCCTCAGCCTCCCCAATGCTGGGACTACAGACGTGCGCCACCACGCCCGGCTTGGGCCCCTGCTTTTAACTCTGCCCCACTTTGGATTTCCGCTCGGATTCCGGGCGCCTAAAAACGCCCGTAGGGTACAGAAAGAAGATGGTGCACATGTTTGGCCGCTCCAGGAGTCTCCCGGGACCCTTCCTTATCCCTCTCACGGTGCCTTCCAAAGGCCGCCGTCCGCTCGGGTTCCCCCAGTGCCCTCGCACCTGCGAAGCCGATCGAGCAGGCGGCGGCGCCGAAAGTCCCATGCACTCGGGCGATCGTGTCCCGCACGAGGCAGCCCAGCACTCGGTCGTCCAGAGTTAGGCGGCAGCGGGGGTCGTCTGACACCAACTCACACAGAAGGTACCTAAGGAGGTGAGAGGAAGGTAAGTGCAAGCCGAGGTTCTGGGCCGGTAACCGAGGTGGTGGTGGGGGGTTGCTAGAAAAAAAAAAAAAAAAAAAGGTTTACCTGTGCTTGAACCGCACCATAGCTGCTATCTCTGTGCTAGCCGGACGTGTACACCGGATGTCTCTCCCGTCACCGGCCAATGGGAACTTCGCCTCCACAGTCAGAGTGGAAGACAGGATATGGGGGCGGAGCTAGGAAGTTGAGAGGTGGAGCCCTGCGTCAGTCTCCTTCAAGTCCCGCCTCTGCGTTTGTAACGGCGCATGCGTTCTTCTAAGATCCTTAAATTTAGCTGTGTGCGGGCGCTGGACTCAGCGATTGAGTGGCTTGCGGCGTTGGTGGGAGTTTCTGCCCCACGCTGGAGTTTACAGTACGGACAAGCCCCAGCTACCTGAGTTCTGTATGTACGTACTTGAATTCTCTCCCCAAGCTAGATAGCGGTATTTTTGAGGCCAAGATCCTGCACTTGAAGCCCAAGGATTAACACACGAAAAATCGCACCCTTTTTCTCAGGTTAGAGCTCGGTTTTTCTTCTTATAGCCAAATACGCTATTTACTGTTTGGGCCTTTCAGTAATCGTATGGAACTGGGTGATCGGCACGTTTTCATTATATGCACAAACAATGTGAGGTAATTGCATTTGCCAGTCTTTTAAAACAAAAAATACAAAAGAGCAAATAAAAATAAATTATTAAACATTGAGAGAGAATATGTGTCATATAATGTGTTTTCTTCTATAATTTTTTTCCCCTTGTCAGCGTTTCTCAAAGTGTGGCCTAGCGATCGCTGAGATTTCCAGGATTCTGTTTAAGGGGTCTTCAACTTCAAAATTACTTTCATAATAGTAATAACATATTATTTGCCATTTTAATTCTCTAAGAATCAACAGAGACTTTTTCCAGGGGCTGTGATACGACAGCACTGCTCTGACGACTGGTGCAACTGTGGGTATTGTTTTAGAGGTTGGGCAGGGAAAGGGAACTAGAGCCTGAACGGAGGGGTGTTCCACCACTCAGCTACAACCCTCGCCCTTTTTTTGTTGTTGTTGCTGAGACAGGGTCTCACTATATAGTTGAGACTGACTTGGAACTCACTAAGTAGTCCAAGCTGGTGTCGAACTCACAGCGATCCTCCTGCCTCAGCCTCCCAAGTACTGGGATTACAGGCGTGCGCCACCACACCTGGCCTAGCCCCTTTTATTTTTTGGGACAGGATCTCACTAAATTGCCCAAGCTGGGTTTGAATTTGCCATCCTTCTGGCTCAAGCTCCCGAGCACCAGACATGTGCCATCATGCCTACTTGTAGTTATATTTTGTGTTGTAAACATTTGGTGGTTTTTTAAAAACAATTTTTATTAGTACATAGTTTTAGTACATAGTGATTACAATCATGGAAAGTTGGTACATATATGCATAATATGTCTTAATTCTTTTTTTCTTTCCCTTCCCTCCCACCCCCACTTCTTCTATCTCTTGATCCCTCATTTCTCAGTTTTGAGTCCATGGAAAATATTATAGACGTAAGCCACAAAAACAAAAGTGCTTTTGCAATCCTCAATTTAGGGGTCTAAATGGGTTGTGAGACAAAACAGGTCGAGAACTGTGCCATATGTTAAATGATAGTTTCCCTCTTCAAGAATAGAGGATCAAGGGGGAGGGAAAGAGATGTAAAAAGAGTTAAGATGTATTGTGCACATGTAAAGGTTCCCCATGATGAATATAATTGTGTACTGCAAACGTGTTCGAATAAACAAAAAAAAGAGGATCAGTCCAGGCATGGTGATCCACATCTGTAATCTCAGCATTCTGGGAGGTTGAGGCAGGGGGATTGCAAGTTCAAGCCCAGCTTGGGTAATTTAGTAACTCAGTAAACTCTATCTCATAATAATGAAAAAAATTCAAAAGGGCTGGGGTGTAGTTCAGTGGAAGACCCTGGATCCGGTCCCCACTACCACACACACACACACAAAGTACTAGAGGATCATACTGTTTAGTGCTCTATTTTTCTTACCCTTTTTACTTATGTTTCTTTCTAAAAATATTTTTGG